CTGGCAAAAAAAGGGTTCCCTCATTAAAAGGAAGAAACCCAGCATCTGGTGATGTCCAAGAGTTTAAGACTTCAGACTGTTATTGCCAGCAAAGGGTTTTCAACCAGGTATTAGAAATGAACATTTTATTTTCAGTTATTTAATTATAATGAAATAACTATGATCATAATAATAATATTTATTTTTGTCCAATTACTTTCGATCCCCTGAAATGAAGGGGTTGTGTTAAAAATGCTTGTAGTTCCTCACATTTTTATGCAGTCATTTCTTTTAACCCACTAAATTAAAGCTGAAAGTCTGTACTTCAGCTGCATCTGAGTTATTTCATTTAAAATCATTGTGGTAGTGTGCAGAACCAAAATTAGAAAAAACTTGTCTCTTACCAAATTTTTATGGGCCTAACTGTAGTTTAAAACATTCCCAGCATTTCCATGTTTATAATTACACATCCCTTAGTTAGCTAAAACCCACGAAATTCCCTGAAAAGATGGGGGACTCGACCTCAGTGGTGGCAATGGGCCTGAGAATAAGAAATATGAGGCCATACATGATTTCTGATTTTTTCCTGAATACAGGCAGATACTTTTCTTAAATTTATTACGAATATAATGTAATAAATTCTTTTTCTGATGGCATCCAGACTTGATAGTGAAGATGACCAAGTACCTGATAAAATGCAACACTTCCATAGTAAGACTGGCATGTCTACACCCGCTGAGGGGCACAGTGATAACAATGAGAGCACAAAGACAGAGGAGCCAAATACATCCCAGCCTGGCCAAACAGAATGTAAGTACCATACTGAATAAACTTAGTCTGCCTGCACACTCGATAGCTTTGTTTTTAAAATCTTTTCTTTCACTGAGAATTCTCCTGCTTTCTTTGCAGTAGCAGACAGCAAATTCTGGAATGTATCTGAGGGAGCTGAGCCATTCCTGTCTAAAGTAAAACCAAAGGAAGGTTGCCAAATGGAGGAGGAGGAGGTGGTGCTGGACAACGGGGAGGGAGAAAAAAAGCCCAAGGGAAAGGAAACCAAGGAGCCTGAGAGAGATGTGTACACCTTCCCCGGAGACTCAGACCAAGAGAGTCCCCCTCCTGCCCCCTGGGCTCATTGCACATTCATTCAGCGGTGCAGAAAAAAGAGGGTCTTGCTCAGGCCCTTCTCAGGACTTGGCACCTTAAAGCGTACGTTGCCTGAGACTGCCAAATTGGCAAGACCTAGTCCTCAAAAATCTGAAACAGTACAACTAAATCGAGGTGGAGGGGTTTATGACTTTGAGGAGGTCAGCTTTGGAGAGGGAGGGGTGGAACCCATAAAGTTCAGAGACAGAGGTGGGAGAAGAGACAAAGAAGGAGAAGAAAGTGGAGCGGAGACAGATAAAGAGATTTTCACGTGTGTCGAGTGTAGCATTTATTTTAAAAAGCAGGTCCACCTGCAAGAACACATGATTGAGCACAATCAGAGTGGCGCAGGGGGTGTCAGGCGCTTAGGAAAGGGCAGCCGCTTTCGATGCACTGAGTGTGGATGGAACCTGCCAAATCGACTTGCACTTGCTGACCACCATAGAAGGCACGAAGAGTCACGACTGAAGATCCTGGAAGAAATTGAGAAACTGAATGAAAATGGGAAAGCAAAAGAATTTCAGACACTGGACAGCAAGGTGTTGAAAAATAGAAGCATAGACCCGACAGTTATAGAAAATACTGGCCCAGGCTCAATACTAAGCAAGGTGGTAGACCCAGACACGGTCAAATCTCCACCTCTATCGCCAGTATCAACACTGGATATAGACCCAGGAGTCCTTGACCTAAATACACCCCTGCCAAATTCAGTTCGAACTCCAACTCAGACCCGAGCTCTCTCTGCCTACCGTCGCCGCTTTATCTGTACTAAGTGTAACTTCAGCACAAGAACATCCCAAGCACTAGCTAATCACTCCAAGACCCACACCAGGAAAAAGCCCACTCTCCAGTCAGATTCTTCTTCCTCTGGCTCACCACTGAGTTTGGCATCTACTTCCCTGACCTGTGGTCACTGTGGCTTCCTGACCTCAAGTGAATCCATACTGAGGGAACACCAGGCACTCGTTCATCCAGGAGAGATCGACGAGTCTGGACAGCGTTTAAAGGCTAGTATGGAAGCAAGAATTTTTAAACCCAACCTAGACCCTGAGTTCGTCTCTGAATCCGGATCCCAGCATGACGCAAATCAAGGCAAAAGCCAGCGAGCAGTTACTGCTTCTGATGACAGCAGAACACCAGACGGCACTACAGCTCGGCCTGTGAGACAAGTGGTCTGTAACAGGAGATTCAGCACAAGAGGCAAACCTTGGACTGATCTGGCCAAGCTTGACACCACTGGGGATGGTGAAAAGCTGCCTGAGAATGAAGAGGAAGAGCAGGACCAAGATCAGAAGTCAGAGTTTAAGACAGAGCTGTGTCGGGAAGAGGAAAGCTCATCAGTGGCAGTCAGGCCTCATACTAGAGCACAATCCAACATGGGTGAGACTAACTAAGAACTCAATTGTTAATTTCAGAGTAATAGTTTACCCTTGATTGATAGAAATGACAAAAAATTAGCTAATTATTATTATTATTATTTTTTTATTCAGATTTCTGGATGCGCATGCACTGCCTGCTGTTTGAGTTAGATTTCGTGATAATTTTAATCAAAAGTTCATTTTCTTTCCTTGATAGATGATGGCTCATCGCTGCAGAGTGCTCCATTACTGCTCCCCACCAAGAAGAGCGAAAAGGACGATGACAAGAAGGAAGCGGAAAAAGACGGGAAGGTTTTCTTTCTGAGGAGGAGCACCAGGGTCGCTGCCGCTCCTGTAGAAATTGACAGCGACGACGACGAAGACATTGACGAGGAACGCGTGCGACGTTTCCTGTCAGAGGGCGTCCTGGATGAAGACAAAGACGAGATTGATGAGGACACAGAGGCACTGAAGAGCGTGGAGAGGAAATGCCCCTACTGCCCCGATCGATTTCATAATGGAATTGGGCTTGCCAATCACGTGAGAGGCCACCTGAACCGTGTGGGCGTCAGCTACAACGTGCGTCACTTCATATCCCCGGAGGAAGTCAACGCGATTGAGAAGAAGTTTTCTTATCAGAAGAAGAAAAAAAAAGGTCAGCACCCTGTCGCATGTGTTTCTTAGACTATGTAGATGTCTTTGCAGATTTGGAACCCTGTCTTTTTATTGTGTTTGGAGTAAAACATCTTTACAATGAAGACTCTGATGTAGGCTATCATATCTCACTTTAATACCCTTTTTTTACATTATACAAAGTTTTACATTTTTTTCATATTTGTCTCCGTGTTTAATTTTTTGTTGATGTGATGAACACTTTGAGAAATGTATATTGAATTTCTATAATATAACTGGTAAGTGGTTTATAACCTACCGGCTAGTTCTCTGGCTTAAACCATGTCCACATATTTATGGCTATTTTTGTAGCTGATGTTCGCAGATGTGTAGCTAATCTGATAAATTTACATGTCAGCCACTCGTAACCTTGCTTCAACTGTTCACCTCAAAACTGAGAGAAGTTAAAACTTAGAGGCCCAAGTTTTCATAACCCTAACCCAACTCTAACCCTGTATGAACATTTTTTGTGTGTTAGTTTTCTTTGTTCTGGGATTGCCAAGAACAATTCAATAATTGGCTAGTGTTAGGGTCATCATCACCAATGATGACTTAAACCTCCGAAAGTTAACCTGCATGTCTCTTCCCGTGTTTTCTTTGTTTACGGTTTTTGGATTAGTTCAAGTTCAAATTCAAGTTTATTTATAAAGCACTTTTAAAACAACATCTGTTGACCAAAGTACTGTACAATAAAAATAGTCAAGGCAAAAGACATAAAATAGGCTAAAGGTAGAAGGGAATAGAATTATAGAATGATGATAAATAAAAACAATAGTAACAGGCTCATACTGATTTAAAAATGAGTCTTTAGATGGGTTTTAAAAGTATCCAGTGTTGTGGAGGTCCTGATATGCAGAGGCAAAGTGTTCCACAATTTAGGCACAGTCACCACAAATGCCTGGTCTTCTCTGTGTTTTAATCTGGACCTCGGGACGACTAGGAACATTTGGTCCGCAGACTTCAAAGATCTTGCAGGTGTATACCAGGTTAGTAGATCAGAATTACATTTTAATAAATGCAATCCGACTTTCACTTTTTATAGAGACTCTTTACCTTCATATTCTGCTTATTAACAAGCAGAAAGCAGACGCCAGAAAGTTTAATCTTTGATCTGCATATTCATATCCAGATATCTGTTCCTACAGATAAGTCCAACAATAACCCAACAGTTGGTGGAGGCATGAGAGATTTCACTTGAGACCACCCAGATAGGGGTGCTAAAGGAAAGTTCAGTACACTAATGAATAGAATTCATCTCTTGAGAGCCATGATTATTCAAAGTTTCATGGCAGTTATTTTTGTGGTTGGCTTGACCAAAGTGGTAACTCAGCAAATGACCAACAGACCAACACACCAGCATTGTGGTGTGTGGGTTTTTAAAAGGAAAAGTTGTTCCATCAATTTGTGGGGGTCACAATAAAACAAACAAACAAAAGGTCGGGAACCATTAGCGTGACATGCCTTACTTTACATTCAATCATTTGCATTGCTTCTTTCCCCTGTAGTTGCCAACTTTGACCCGGACACTTTCAGCGTGATGCACTGCGAGTTCTGCAGTGCTGGCTTCGATACCCGGGCTGGCCTGTCGAGCCACGCTCGGGCCCACCTCCGTGACTTCGGCATCACTAACTGGGATGTTACCATCTCCCCAATCCACATCTTGAGGGAGCTGTTCTCCAGCAGGCCTGACCTCGTAATCCCCACGGCTCCCCCTCGGAGTTCTGGCTCTCCAGTGGAGGAAGATGAGGACGATGATGAAGATGAGAGAGACCTAGAGGATGAAGGGGAGGGAATTGTTAAAGTAAAGCTGGAGGAGGAGACAAGCGAAAGGACCCTGAGTGCTGCTGTTTCTGATGTGCTGCCTTCAGCATCTCCCCAATCCTGGAAGAAGCGGGACGGAGCAGAAGAGTGTAAAGGTGAGTTTCTATTATTGGTCCATCTTTAAAAATGGCAATGTGATAAACAGACTTTACTTATTGGTTGTGTGATTAATCTGCTGGCTGCTGATGGCTCTGATGGGTCACTACCTTGTCCACGTTTGAAGTTTGAGCTTGGCTCTCTGTTGCCTCATAAAACCAAGATAGAAGGAGATAATGATAAAGCAGTTAGAAATGTGTTTTGAAGTTACTGCCTGTCCTCGGTGGGAAGTACTGGAGTCAGGTGGCTGCTGAGAAAAATCGGTCTTTGCGCGAGTGTGTGTGTGTGTGTGTGTGTGTGTGTGTGTGTGTGAGGGAGAGAGCTGGAAAGAGTGAGAGAATCCCTGATGCCCATGGTTGATGTGGCACTCGGTGCATTTATCCCAACCTCCGCCTCCACTCGATTGGTCACGCCTTAGCTTAGCGGTGCATATGGGGGCAAAATGGCTGCTTCCACCTCCCCGCAGACCCAAACAATAGCGGAAAAACTGTCTGGCTTCAGCTGCCGGGAGTCCGATGCACTGCGGTTGCGGACCGGTGAGTACCGCGCGCCGTAATTCCCGTGCACCGCGTGCCCTCGGATCGCGCGGCGGCTTCTTCGCACTGCACGTCTGGCGCCGCATCTTCTGTCACAATGTAGCCAGATAACAGCCATTAAAAAGAAAGAAAAAGAGAAAGAAAGAAAAACTCTTTATCACGTTGGAGACCGCGTAAAAAAAATGAGTGTCGCGTGCAGGTAGCCTGTGACACGCATGTCAGAAGCTCATAAAGCGGGTCATTGTTATTGTTTCGGGTTTCCTGATTTTGCACGCGGGGATAGATTGTGTGCATTTTGGCTGTTGTGATACTATTGTTGCAGTTTGTTTTTTCTTTTCAATACATATTTATGTGAGTGTGTATGTCTGTGTGCTTTCCCCCCTCTATTATACACGTATCGAATGACGTCCAGTATTTCCAATGCTGCAGGATCTCTAAAATTACCTACAGTTGCCCAATCCTCGCCATTTTACTTTGCTTTGATTTTTGATAGAGGACACGCTGTGCCTTCAAGTGCATGCTTTTGTGCATGTCTCTTTTTTCTCCCCCTACAATAAACTGACCGCGAGAATAGTCGGGAAACGTGGTAACTTTGTTGACCCAAAGTAGCAGCAGTTAGTAACTGGTAATCTTATTGCAACTTATCCGGATCAACCAAGTATAATGGAAGTATCACTTTTACTTGGAAGTGTCGGGTTGCTCACTCTCTCTCCGCCCGAACGGGCACAAAGTTAGCGTTTGCCACTTTGCCTCCGATCTTAGAAATTAGCCCTGTGATTATTTGGCGTTGTCTTTAGCATAATAAACGGTGTTATAACGCTGCGTTCCGGGGTGTCACATCGCTGCTCTTTTACAGTCAAGAGATGAACTGACAAGCGCAGAGCCGCCCACCAGACAAAAAGCATTGTCTGTCTCCACGTCTCTTTTGATTTACCGATTTGTCGCAGAAAATGGCACTTTTGTCCCAGGAATGTCTGATTGCGGGGAACCAAGACTGCCGCGTTTGTTTCATACTGTAGTGCAGTTATTACTTTTTTTGTTTTGTTCTTTGGCTTTTTTTTTTTTTTGACAGGGATTCATTACTTGAATTGTTTTTATGCATATTTCCCCCACAGAATGCATTACAACGCGCTGCTGTAACAAGAAGGGAGAAAATAACAGGGCATTGAGCTCACAGGACTGAGCTGATTTTTCAGCTCACAGCCTGATTCTTTTCTTCTTTTATCCACATATACATGCATTTAATGCGTGCATATGCGTTTGATGCAGTTTATTTATTTATTTCCCCCAATGTATAATTAGCTTTGAGATGCATCCCTCAGACTGCTATTTAATGTGATTTGTCATGACATTCATCACTTAGCCTAATTACTGTGGATTTTCTGCACTTAACACGGATACGGTTGTGTTTTTAGGCGATGACGAGGAGGGAGCAGAGGAAGAAGATGAGGAGGAGCTGCAGCAGCTTTCAGCCCTGGACGGTTTGAGCTCAAGCCCCGGGAAAACGGGTCCGCGCGGCGTGAACACGGACAGCCTCTCTCCTGGGGAGGATGCAGACACCGCGGGTGAGGCAGGAATGTGGGAATGCTGACCTCAGAGTGTTTACAGGGGATTGGATTTGCTACAGCCAAGCCTCATCATAGCTGTCAGTGGGAAAACTGTAGTGGTAACAGAGATGCTACAAGAGAGGGGGTTATCACAAGGGAAATCCTGAGAGGAAGACAAATCTTTTAGGGGGTAATTAGAGCACCCCTAGTACTGTGTAAGTGTATTCTGGGATATCTGTGGTCTCTAGAATTACCCGAGCCACCTGCTGCTGGTTTTAAAACTGGGGTGGCTGTCGCTCAGGAAGTAGAGCAGGCTGTCTGCTAATCTGAAGGTTGGTGGTTCAATCCTTGACTGCTCCAGTCTGCATGCCAAAGTATCCTTGGGGAAGATACTGAACCCTAGGACCTGGTTCATCAGAGTGTGAATGTTAGATTATGATGAATGTGTGTGTGAATAAGGCTCGTAGCATAGATGCTTTGTATGCAGAGTAGAAAAACACCATGTAAGTGCACAAGCTGCCTAAAAACAGATGTCATCTGTAGCGGTTTGAAACATTTATAACATTTGTAAGACACAGCTTATTACCCAGTCTTATGCCGTCTTTCACACTTGTGCAGACAACAACTTGAAGTGTGAGGTGTGCGAAGCTCAGTTTGAGACCAAGCGCGGCCTCTCCATCCACGCCCGCTCTCACTTGCGCCAGCTGGGCATCACCGTTTCAGACGGCAGCGGGACCTCCATTGAGCTCCTCCGCCGGATTGCCAAGGAGCGCAAAATAAGCTTGTCTCTTCAGGAGCCACTCGTAGCTGAGAGCCCCTCCCCGTCCATTGCCCCAAAAGATGAGGACATGGACTTAGACGAGAAACCCATCCCTCTGTCCCTCTTGGCCAAAGCAGCGAAAGCAGTGCCGCTCTCGTCCTCCTCCACACCTTCTCCGGGCGCCTCTCCAGCTCCGGCTCACTCCGGCTCCCCTTCCTCGGTAGTGAAGAAAGCCCCCATTTCCTCTCTACTACCTGTGTCTTCCCCCTTGCGCTCTCCTGAGCACAAGGCAGGGGGCATGAAAAACTTGACCTCTAACCTCTCCGGCTCAACAACCATTGCAACAGCCAAACCCCTCTGGGCGCCAGAGGAGAATGATGCTCCTCTTAACCTCAGTAAGTGTCGCTGTCCTAGCTGATGATTGTTTTATCTTTTCATTGCTTCATGTTTAGTCATTTCTTTCTTCTGTTCATAGCACTGGAGGTTGACCCCAACAAAGACATTGTTTGTCAGCTGTGCGGCGCCTGGTTTGAAACCCGGAAAGGCTTATCCAGCCATGCTCGAGCTCACCTGCGGCACTTTGGGGTGGAGTACTCGGAATCCAAGGGGTCTCCCATCAGCCTCCTGAACCGGCTCATCGACACGGATGACTTTAAGCACAAAGCCAGTGCATTGCAGCTCGACAACCACACAGAGCCACGGAGCCTCGCCCCCACTACGCTCTCCTCCTCAAAGCCATCCTTGCTGACACTCTCCTCCTCTTCCTCTTCATCACTCCTGTACAAGGTGACCACGACCGGGAGTGGTTCAACATCCAAAGCTACCTCTTCCTCTGCCTCATCTATACTTGGCCCACCCGCCAAGCGTCTCAAGTCCTCTTCCATGCAGGTCTTCCGCCTCAGTAGTGGGGAACTCATGGCCCTTCCACACAGTGAGTGTTGTAGTATCCATGAAATTAGACGATTTATAGAAGCATAATGCTTTCTCTGTTTAACGCAAGGTCAAACCTTCTCGTCCCTAAGGTGAACCTCCAAAGGAGATAGGCTGTGAATTCTGTGGGGAATATTTTGAGAATCGCAAAGGGCTGTCTAGCCACGCTCGCTCTCACCTGCGTCAGATGGGCATTACCGAGTGGTCCGTCAATGGCTCTCCGATCGACACCCTGAGGGAGATCATCACGAGACGGGGCCTGCCTTGCGCCCTCCCGCTAAAACCTCTCAAAACCCCACCGCCATCTTCTCCAGGACCGCCTCGTTCCCCCCTTTCGGTGTCCTCTTCTCCTTCAGCTACTCTCCTCAGTCGCCTGCCCTTCGCCTTCGCCCGCCCCTCCAGTCCTCAGGCCGCCGTGTCCAAGTCGAGCTCGGCTCCACCAACGCCTTCTAGCGGGCTGATTCTCAAGCTGAAGCCGGAGCCGGTGCAGGTAGAGGTCACCACGCCTGGAGCTGTGGGGAGATCTGGAGGGTTTTCAGCTGAGTCTCTCAACTCTAGCTGGAGGAGCTCTGACAGTGCGTTTCCTCTCAACTTAGGTATTTGAATCCTGTTTTGTCTTCAGTGCTTATTTAACAATTGTTAAGGAATAATTTATAGATAAGGGAAATCACTTTCAAACGTACTGGCATGTCTAGTTTGTATTCATTAATCATTTATTATTGTTTGCTTCACCGACTGAATTAACCTCAGTTTAGTCAGGAGCATTTTTTAAGACAATCAGCGGCTACTTGGTGCAAGCCAAGCAACATCTCTGTAAATAACAGCATAAAACCACAAACTGTTTTTTCTGATTTTAGTTCTTTGATCAAATTATTTAAAAAAAACAAACATTTTAAAAGCAGGGAAATTATGATTAACTTTTGGACTAAGGCATGCAGGCTGTTTTCCCCCTTTTTGAGAATATGTGGTAAGTTTTACAAAGCATAGACTGTATATAAAAGATGGTCTTAGCTACTGTGCTACGACCCATTATTTGGCAATGTCCTTTTTTGAAGCCTCAACTTCAGCATCTTTGTGTGATGGCAAATATGTGTGATGGCACTGGTTGCTCATGGGCTAACCGCTTTTCAGTCAAATTTTATAGCAAATCTTGATTTGCAGTGGTCCCTCGTTTATCGCAGGAGTTACGTTCTAAAAATAACCCGCGATAAGTGAAATCCGCGAAGTAGCCAACTTTATTTTTTACAATTATTATAGATGTTTTAAGGCTGTAAAACCCCTCACTACACACTTTAGACAGTTTTCTCAGACAGGCATGAACATTTCCACACTTTTCTCTCTTGTTTAAACACTCTCGAAGTTCAAACCTTCGTAAAAAAATAAGTCCAGTATTATAGAATGAAACCAAAGATCAAACCCTGCTTTCAGGTCCAGAACATGGGAATAGAGCAGCTGCGAGAGAATTCAACATTAATGAATCAATGATACGGAAGTAGAGGAAATAAGAATGAGTTGAGTAAAGTTTGACTTATCTGACTGTTTGGTTTCGCTTAATGCGCCTCATAATGCAATGTGCCTTATGGTCCAAAAAATACGGTAACTTCTACCTTCCTTTAGCATGTCCAGAAGTCCAACTTTTTGTGCGATGGTTAGCATTTTCCTCTGCCTTTCGGATGCTACCGCAGGTGCCTTTGACGGTGCAAAAAGTTTCGTCGACATTGTTGTGTTTGTTGGGGAGAAAACTTACAAACATACAGTACAGCACTTCAGAGTCACACTGCTAGCGATCGAAGATTGATGTAAATTTGACTGAACGCATTCGGTACTGTACATGAGACACGGTACGGAGGAGATTGACTGACAGTGGTCTACAGCCAATCAGGACGCAAAACAAAATGCGCTGTAGAAAAAAAAAAAGAAAAAGCATGCAAAATTGCACAAAGTAAATCCGCGAAACAGCGAGGCCGCAAAAAGTGAACCGCGTTATAGTGAGGGACCACTGTATTGTCCTTTTAGGCGATGGTTTACAAAATTAACATCATGTTTTAGTCACTAAAACTGCACTACTAGTCACTTTTGCCCATAAACGCATCAGGAAAGTGTTTGCTGAGGTCATAGTTAAAGTGAGCCGTGGGTCATGCCCATAGGCTTCCATATAACCTAATGTCCCCCTACTGGTCATTAGAAAAATTACAAGTTTAAGACATCTGGCCGTTACTTCCACCTTTTACATACAGTCTGTCTTACAGATTAGAGTAGGACAGGTCTTCTCGTGTATCTCATGTAACGCTAAACAAACAATGCATGTAAATGTAGTGTATTCCTGGTAAAAATAACTGTATTCGGTAGTCGTGTGTGATCCACTGTATGTGATAATCGAGTGCACATTTTCACCTGGTATCTCTTTAGCCATGGCCCATGAGGTGGAGCCTACGAGGGATATCCGTTGCGAGTTCTGCGGGGAATATTTTGAGAATCGCAAAGGCCTTTCTAGCCACGCCCGCTCCCACCTGCGACAGATGGGCATCACAGAGTGGTCCGTCAATGGTTCGCCCATCGACACCCTGAGGGAGGTTATGCACAAGAGAGGGGTGGGTGGCTCCTCGCAGTCAGACCAAGGAGTGAAGAAAGAGTCCAGCCAAGGAGCGAACAGTCCCTCCTGGGAGAGCACAGGGGGCGCCAGCGGCTCCGAGGGTTTGGGCGCTTCGGGTTACCAGTCCTCCAAATTCCGTAAATCTCCTCTCAGCTTGCAGCAGTCAGGGTCAAGGCTCCATAAGCAGGGTGTGGGGTCTGTGGGCCCATCTGCTACCCCATCTGCAGGGAAGTTTTTCAGGATGTCCCCACTGGGGAAAAGGCCTCTGTCTGAGGAGGCCCAGTCAGTGGAGGCTGCGCACTCATCTCCACATCAGCTTAAGACTTTCTCATCCCTTCCACATGATTTCTCCTTCAAAAGAAAACCTTCCCCAGACAAGCATGCACACCAGGGTAAGATGCAGTTTTTTCTCCACTTGCCCTGAACTTCATCTGATACCGATCATTATCCGCTAAGAAAAGGTATTCTCTTTACTCCTCCCCTGTATTTTTCAGATCCCAGTTGTGAGCTGTGCGGCTTTTTCTTTGAGAACCGTAAGGCTTTAGCCAGCCACGCGCGAGCCCACCTGAGGCAATTTGGCGTGACCGAGTGGTGTGTAAATGGATCCCCTATCGAGACGCTTAGCGCTTGGATGCGTAGCAGGCCGCAAAAGGTGTTGGAGATGCACCGCAGCTACATGCAGGGTAACCGCACCACCCTAAAGAAGGTGAGGAGTGGCAGTCAGTCTTTGGTAACGCATTTCAGCCGAATAACTCAGATCAGTGCAGCAAGCCGAGCCGCTTGGTCTTATTTTAGGCCTGTGATACTTCAAAGCGCGTTGTGACTGCTGTGAACATTTGATTTTAAAACAAAAAAACTGGGAGTTGTAAGTGGAGGAGCCCGCGCCTCAGACAAAAGTGTCACAGCTATGCAGCGAGAAATCATAACCCACTGTGCTACTTTCCTGACACGCTCACTTTCCTCTCAGTGTCTTTGAATAGGCGTCATGCTCGGAGATCTAACGAGCCCCAGCTGGTGGCACGACAGACATTTTGTGTCACGGAAAGCCTCAGACGTGTAGTCTCGCAGCTTTGAGCCTTACTGTAGATCCTGTGTCTTTTACACCAAGCAAAAATCACTGTGGGGACAGATGCCAGAACAACTCAGCTATTGACTTGATAGTTGCCATAGTAACCAGGGTGCCTGGCAGCTTATGTTTCATCTTCAGATAAATTATGGCATGCTGTTGATAGAAGAAAATGTATGTTTTTTTCCCCTTTTTTTCCCTCCCCGCCTGAATTAGTTTCTGGTGCATTTGCGTCACTGTCACACCTTTTCCCTGAGTGGTGATGTGACACACATACAAAATGAATCACCTTTTAAATGTCCTTGTAATCATATTATTTTTTCATACAGACGTAGTCAAACCAACCTCGCTGTAGGATTTGATTGGCCTAAGTAATGACTGATGTCATGGTTAAAAAGGGTGTAATAATATAAATACCATTAATATTATTAGTGAGCTAATAAACCTGGGCAACTATTTGACCTTTTCAGTGGAAAGGACGTGTCGCTTTTATTTCCTATTGCTTAATATGTTTGACATAAAGAACAGTTTATTATACCGTGACATCTTTGAATTAGGGGGAGATTTTATCCACTTATAAAAATCCACAAGGAAAAACACCCCATTAATGTTAGCTTGAAGCTAATAGTGACTAGTAAAAACACGTCTTTATATACTACATTAAGTTTACAGTCATAAATGGGTTCAATGCTTTAACAACACAAAGAATACGAAAAATTAAAATGGAAAATAGATGCAGTGATGTATTGAAACATGCAAACATTCATGAGGCAAAATCAGAATTTGTACAATTCTAACAAGCATCAGTGTAAATATTTAAGTAATATTTAGGCAGCTTTCTTGTTAAGTAGTCTTCAGGAATAATTCTCCAGGCTTCTTGAAGGACATTCAAAGCTCTTCTTTGGATGTTGCTGCCTTTCCCTCTGTTTTCTGTCAAAATGATCCCACACTACTTTAGTAATGTTGAGGTCCGGGCTCTGGGGAGGCCAATCCATGACTGATGGTGTTCTGTTTTGGATTTTCCAGGTATACTTAGTATGACTGTGGCATAGCAAAATGAAGCCTCCACTACTTCATCCATATATATTAATGTTAATTTGAACAAAAAAAAGATCGTATCAGACTGATTTTTGTTCAGATTCTTGTGTAATTTGGCATAACATCAGCTTTTTTCCATTTCCCTTCCTTAAGAATGGCTTCTTGACAGCCACCCTTCCACTGAGAGCATTTCTGATGAGCCGTCAGTGAACAGTAGATGGATCAATTAAAAGTCCAGATGCATCTTTCAAGTCGTGTGTCATCCCTTTGCTGGATTTTTCTGTTTCACACGACTTTGAGATACTCTTCATCTGCTCTACTTTTAAAAAAAATGCCTCATTGCACACCACGACAAGACCACTTTACAAAATTGCAAGAAGGTCTGGCTCCTTAAAAACAAAACATAAAGAAATGAGCGGTGGCTCAAGACACACATCACTGTAGGTAGACATTAAATGCATGAACCACAGCACTCAGACTTTCCTTAAAGTCTTAAAGTGGAGTAAATATGGCTATTTGTAAGCAGGTATAGACTTCATATTGGAAAGGTATGGCCTGTGTCTTATTTGTCTGTTTCATCTTTTGTTCCGTCTCTCTCTTTGTGATCATTGCCGCTGGCTGTAATGGGGGTCACCGCCCCTGATGCTTCTGTTAACACTGGCTCCAGAAATTCAGTGTTTGTCTGGTTCTACACTTTACTGGTATGATATGTTGGAATGATTCTAACCAATATCACAGGAAAAAACCGCAAAACAATATTGGTGTCATCAACCCAGTGAGCCTGGACTGCCTTGGATGAAGAAATACCGCATTAGCACACGTTTTGAACACCCACATTCGGACAACTTTTGTGATGATAGCTCTTTTTTATAGACATGTAGACCAACACATTCTGACTAGTCAGTAAGGCCAATATAACTTATATAAGTAAGTTTGCTGATCCAGGCACTATTTGGGATAATTGATCTAATTGGAGCTGTTTTGGCAAAACGTTTTGCCACTAGTCAGTCGGCAGTATTGCCCTTTGGGCGATAAAGAGGCCTTTCTAACACTTTCTGTAGCGAGCTAAACCTGTCTGTCCTTGATTGAGAGATCAGTCGCTCGTCCTTGGAGATCTTTTCGGCTCAGTTGCATACACAGCATGACAGGTTTCCAATGATTTAAGTCAGGGGACCATAAGAGCCCCATCAAAGCCTTTAGTGTTTCTTCAAGTACATCATCGTGGATTTTAAGGTCTGCTTGGGCCAACTGTGCTGTCGCAGAAGTCGCCTCTTTAGTTTCAGTGTCTCAGCTGTGTGACATTTAAAGCTGGAGATTTGTTGATATTTGGGGGAATGATTCTTAGATTTTCTTCATAGTATATGTGCTGTTTTCTTAGGTAAATGTTGGGTAGACTACTCTTCTAAAAGAGGAAGTTTGACATCATTAAAATGTATTTTCTGAGGTTGTATTTATTTACAAAAACTTTGTATCTGTACACTATAGCAAACAGTGTGTATTCTTTGAGACTAGATGACACAAGTGAAGAGTGGATGTGCACATATCCAGCTTTATTGTCTGTTTTACTGTAAATGGGAGCATACTTCCCAACAAGAACAGTGAGGTATATGAATCAGAACCTGAAACTAGCAATTTAGGCGGTAAACTCATTAGAAAAGCGTTTAATGAGCTTATAGATCAAGGGTCATTTTCTCAATAGACTTTTATACATTCTGACTTACAATCATTATGCAGCCACACATTCCTTCAGTGCCTATTCAAAATGCAGGTTTAAGGTACTTTCTCATTTGCTTGACTTTTCAGACCCAGAGGCCGTGTCTCTTCAGTATATTTAGCTAAAAGCTAGTTAGCTTCACTGGGGTCATGCGCCAGAGCATATCTTGGCTAGTACCTGCCACACAAACACATAGACACAATTGCAGCACATACTTAGCACATTAAATGGAATCACATTATTATTTGTTTTAATTATATTTACCTATAAACATTTAAAGGTAAGTGCACTGGAATAAGTTTTTTTTAGCCAGGTTTTTACAGGAAACAAACTAATTAGTATACTCTAAAGTAAATTTAAGTACTGCGGAAATAGTTTTAGGTAGTACATGAGTAATTTAAAGTATTGCATAACTTAAGGTATTTTACAGGAAAGAAGACAAATAATTCTGTAAGTAGTTTTAATAACTGCAGAATGTCTTGGTAGGTTTGCAGAAAAACATAATATTTCGCCATCTTGCATCGAATGCTGTGCTTTTTAACATCCGGGTGATATTATGGAGAGTCTTGGCATTGCCTAACTTCCAGGTATTTTACAGGAAAAGAGACACTCCTTTTCTTTAAAAGCTATGTTTTAACAGTGGTTTAATTCACCCATAACATGACCCTCACCCCGAAATACACAGCTTATGTACGATGTAAGTTTGGGAAATATTCCTCCAAAAGTTGATTCTGTTCATCTGGACGTAGCGTTTTGTGAGAGAAACGTTTCGTCACTCATTCAGGTTACTTCTTCAGTCTCAGCTGACTGCAGGTTTCCCCAATCTTATAAACAGTACATTTGCATAATGACTGAAACCAGCCAACTGAAGGAACAATGGGCTGGGAGGTCAGTTCCTTAATCAGAATTATGCAAATTCTCATGACCATTGATCAACAACCACTGATCAATGGCCATGAGTACCATTCACAAAGAGTTGGGGAATGGCTGCAATCACAGCATTGTAAGATGGCAAAAGATGTACCCTTAGGCCCCCTCCTCAATTCAGAGATGGTCTTTCCCTTTTCACGTAAATGGCCTCCTTGACTCTGCGCTCAAACCAGCGTTCCTCCCTGTCCAAGATGTGAACATCCTCATCATTGAAAGAGTGTCCACTGGCCTGTAGGTGTAAATAGACTGCAGAGTCTATTTACTGGCCTGACGAGGTAGCTCTTCTGTGTTGTGCCATCTGCTTCGGCAAAGGTTGTTTGGTTTCCCCGATGTATAAATCCTGGCAATCCTCCTGGCACTTAACAGCGTACACTATGTTACTCTGTTTGTGTCGGGGGACCTGATCCTTGGGGTGGACCAATTTTTGGCGCAGCGTGTTTTGGGGTTTAAAAGCCACAGACACCCGGTGTTTAGAAAAAATGCGTCTCAACTGCTCCGATACTCCTGACACATATGGGATCACTACAGGTTTTCACTTGGGCAGCGGTTGTCCTTCTCTCCTGGATCGGCTGGAGCTTTCTTTAGGCGCCTTCCCAGCTTTGACAAAAGTCCAGCTGGGATAACCACATTTACTCAGGGCCTTCTTGATGTGCTGTTTTTCTGCCTCCCTGGCCGCTGTGTCTGTGGGGATGGTGTTCGCTCTGTGTTGTAGCGCCCTGATGACACCCAGGTTGTGCTCCAGTGGATGATGAGAGTCAAACCTTAAATACTGATCCGTATGTGTAGGTTTACGGTACATGTCAGCTTTGATCAGTGGGTTTTGGTCAGTGGTTGTTGCTCAATGGTCATGAGAATTTGCATAATTAAGATTAAGGAACTGACCTGCCAGCCCATTGTTCCTTCAGTGGTGCTGGTTTCAGTCATTATGCAAATGTACTGTTTATAAGATTGGGGAAACCTGCAGTCAGCTGAGACTGAAGAAGTCACTTGGATGAGTGATGAAATGTTTCTCCCTCAAAACGCTACGGCCAGATGAACAGAGTCAACTTTTGGAGATCTACTTACCTGGATGATTGAGCATGCATCAAGATGGGAAAATATTGTTTCTCCAAAATTGCAATAAATTTGCACACCACTTTAAATTACTTATGCAGTACTTAAATGTAATTACATTACATTACAATTTCTTTTCTTTTCTGTAAAATACCTTAGGTTATGCTATGCTTAAAATTACTCATGTACTACCTATAATTGCATACGTAGTACTGAAATGTACTTACTGGTATGATTGTTTAATTTCTTCCTGTAAAAACCTGACTTGTTACCACCTTATTCTGCCATTCCTGCCTTTAAGGAATTTGTTGGTAAATATTGTTATATTGTACTTTCAAATAAAATACACTGAAATAAAATTTTATTGCAGGGGAATTACACCCTTAGTCATGCGTTGTGTTATAAAGTGTTAACCTTTTTGCTGTTCTCCAAAACAACAATGGCTAGGGTTGTGGTTTTCACTGATGGTTGAAACTCGATCAGTGAGTTTTAAGTGTTGCCAATATCTGCAGTTATCCATGTTAATAGAACGAGTCTGATGCTCAGCTCAGCTATAGGTCCCCGTTATTTGATGCATTGGTGTCAGTAGAAGCCCAAATTAGGTCCCCATATGTCTGCAGATCTTTTGCCTTCGTTATTAATCACATTTTTTTCATCCATTTGTTTTGTAAAGCTCAATGGAGGGTCTATTAATTTCTAAGTGCTTTTATTGTAATCAGACTTCTAATTAGTGCTTTATACATGACAGGTGTGAGAGAAAGGTCAGCTGGGACAGCTAGATATATAGTGTGTAATACGGTAATTTTAAAATAAGTAGAGAGAATCTTTTCTGTTACAGCTGCCTAATTCATTAACACAGCTAGATTGGTTGTAGTTAGATGCACTGTCCAGACTGTAATTATTGTAATTATGTGCATGATTACACATTTTTTGCATACGTGCTGAAAGAACTAGGTGGGAGATAAAACCCTTTTAACATGTAGTGCTCAGATTTTAAGGGCTTAAACATTCTGTACAAAAGTCTTGAGCCACCCCCTCATTTCTATATATCTTGCTTCCAAGGAGTCCAGTAGTTCTCCAGGCTTTCTGAAGGTCTTTGAACATTTCTTTGTTGTGTCTACAGATAACGGACAACTTAGCAAAGAGCCAACTAGCCTGTTGCAAAAAACAAAAATTTCCCCATATTTAACTGAATTTATTAAAAATGTCAAAGATTACACAGTTTGAGAGACATAAAATAGTATTTTTGTACCAACAAGGTGAACCCCCCAAATAATTAGGCTAAAATGGTGTGTTCTTAAATTGATTAAACTGGACAACTGGAGGAAAAATGTAGTGGGCCTTAAAAACAACCTATAGCTGAAGTCCTTAAGAAATCCAACAAAGACCTGACACTGAGAGGTGGATCAGCCAGTGGTTCTGGGAATCTTGTTAGAATTGATGTAATTATAAATGCAGAAAAGTACAAATAGAGTTTGAGCCACCCTACAATACTGTAAAGTGGAAAGTGTCAGAACTGGACAAAATCGAGCACAGGACTTGTCAGATTATGAAGAGACAAAGTCAGTATTAATCTAAACGTCACCTCATACCTCTCAGACACAGGCGATCATCTTTTAACTAACTTTGTGCTGATTAACAGCTGCTGAGAACAATTTGTGTCCAGGTACTTATGAACCCCACTAATATGGGTGCTGTGTACTTGAAAGGGGCAAATTACAGCACAGTTCTCCTTATAGCAATATAAGCTTAATCTACTGAAAAAAGATAGACAGATGATGATGATATAAACCCACTTAAATTAAAGAAAGTGAAGATAAAACAACAAAAATTATAGTAGTTTAAATACTGTCTCTGCACTAAATAGGAGGCTAATGCTAGTTCCTGGCTAGCTTAAATTAGCATGTCAGTCCCAGCACCAGGCCAGGAAATTGTTGGCAGATATCCTCCCCAAAATGACTTCAAAAAAAGTCACATAACTTTTTAATTAGTAAGTAATGAGCTTTAGAGGAACTGGTGGTAGATTTTGTTACCTTTGGATAGAGCCAGCCTAGCTAACCGTCTACTTTTTTGCTTGAAACTAAGCTAACTCTTGCTTCCAAGTTACATATTTACTCTGTTCATATGCCTTATTGGTATATAGGAAGAAATTCAAAGTCTTATCTGGGTTCTTATTTACTTTTGTTAATGTGCCAGTGTTTCTGTTTACATGGTAACACCAGGACTCGCCAGTCTTTTTGTAATTTACTGCTGATAGGATCACTCATTTTTTCCATGTTCCAGAAGAGCAGCTCACCGCTCACTGTGGATTCTGATCATATCCTCCCCATCTCATCGCAGAAGGCTTCCTCTTCCTCCTCCTCCTCTCAGTGGTCTTCTTCTTTGGCTGTCAGCCTGGTGCGTCCACTGAGCCACGAGGTCAGCCAGGGCTCTTCCAAGACTGCAGAGGAAGAAACTGGTACCAACTTCCAGGGTGCTCCCATCAGGGCTGGTCGCAGCAGTCCCAGTCTCTCGCGGCTCGGCAGCGGCCACACGCTTCAAGCACAGGTGGCGCGCAGTGAGCTCAATGTCCGCCTGCCTAGAGGTACGTGAGGATAGAGCATATGTCTTGGCTCTCAATCACATAGGTGCATACATATACAATGTATTATATATTCTCAAAAAATCAGTTGTTAATACTGGCATTAACAAGCCCTTGACAGGCAAAATTACCCTAATTTTTCCCTTTTTTCAGTCAATGTTTAACCATTTTACATTATATTGTTAAGGAAATATTACAATGTTATACATCTTTTAGGTTTAGGCAGAAAACTGAACCCCTTTATACTTTAAATGACTGAATTGCCTCTAAGCTATACTGACATTGAAGCATTTTGGTGCAGCTCTACTTTGCACCAACCTCCTTTGTTACCTCCTCCTCTTGCTCAGGTTTTGAACGTCGGCCGTTGAAGCACCCATCTTGCCCGGACGGGACAGAGAGGGATAGCGGCCCTCCTAAGCCCCCACGCACAGGCACCGTCCCCGCCCTGGTGCCCAAACCACCCTCCTACCCGCTGGTCAAAGTGGTGGGCAAGTTCTACACCCTGAAGTGCCGGTATATGAAACTTGTGTCTTGGGATATAGCTTTCCAGGACCCAGGAAAAACTGTTCAGGGCTCTTAGCATTAGAAATTTGGAGACTGTAGCATTGATAGGACTGTCTGCCTATGTTTTAAATAGTCTGTTAATCCCCCAAGCAGCAATCCCTGTTCCCACGCCCTGTCGAGCAGTACTCCACTTTTAGTTGCTAATGCACTATATTGAGAAGAGCGAACCATTTGGGATTTTCAGGGAACATGAATGAGTGCTTAAGTTCTGATATAGCTGCAGCACAAGTGGCAGAATGGGCCGCCCCTGAGAGACAGAGAATCTGGCTTAGCGGCATCGGATTGTGTTTTATCTCTTTGTGTTAGAGCATAAGTAGTTGCATTCATTTTACTGGCTATCGGTAAAGCCGTAAGTGATAATTTCCAGCCTAAAAAGTGTGTTTTTGTTCATCAGATTCTGTGAGGTCGAGTTCCACGGTCCACTGTCGGTGCAGGAGGACTGGATCAGACACCTCCAGCAGCACATTCTCAAGATGAACTACAACAAGCCCGCTGCTGCCAAAGCAACAGCCACCGAACCACCTGCCCTAGCTGACGATCCTGTGCCGGTCCAGGCCTCTGTCCTAGCCTCCACCTCTACCTCCAGAACCACCTCTACCGCACCGGCTCTCACTTCCACCTCAAACAGCAACACGACTCCCAAGAGCCTCTCCCCCTCGCCCGTGGACGAGTGCGCTCCTGCCATCACTGCCACAGAGATAGTTCAAGTCTCAGAGGAGCAGCCAACCCTAACTCCAACTCCTATTCCTCTCCCCACCCAGACAGCGTAAGCTCACATTCATCACCTGTACTCATTTTATTTCTTCCAGTTTCTACTTGTTCACCCGTTTCTGTCCTTTGGCCTTCACAAAGTGGTGTTTAGGAGGAGCATTCTCCCTCCCAAAGAGCCCTCTGAGCCCCAAGCACCTTTTGAAGCAGCTTTCTAGACTGTTACTAAGTCCCGTTGCCATGAGAACGAAGCTCCACTGGCTTATCTGCACACCAGGGATGGGTGATTACGGGAAATGTCCAAGGTTATAAGGAGAGATGGACTAATGTTTGTGTTTGCCTTGTTTATATTGAATGTTCAGATGTGGATCGTTACTGTACCTCTCTCATTCACTGGGCGATTTAGGGTTTAATATAACCCTTTATTAAACTTTAACACCTTGTCTACTACAACCTTCCCTCCAATCTTCTACTTATGAACAGCGCATTAAAAGACCTGTGAGATTTTGACCATTGCTACCAGGATGTTGGTAGCTTTGACTGACTGAGATTAAGCGACAGTTCTAATCATGCTAGTCTTGCGGTTCAGACTTTAAACATGTGATAACACTTAGTGTTAATAAAGGCACTTTTAATGTGGACACTCAGCACTTAATGATACAATTTGAATAGGTTAATATGATATAGGGATGCACCGATATATGGGCCTAACACTGATATTGGTCGAAATTGGCCTCGTTGAACGATATCTGCTCATTGGCAAATAAGATGGGACTTACAGGAATCGGTGGCCTGTTGTGATTAAAGGGACACAGCATGGGAAAACCAGACTAAAGTCACAAAATTTTTAAAATTAAAAATTCAAACTGTGCCTGATCTTTGAAATATTGTGGTTTGAATTGACCACAGGTAAAAGATGGAAAACATTGCCAGCATCACCTAGGAGGCAACTTTTTCTGGTTGACTGGCTCAGCTGTGGGGTTTTCCCCCAAGTGCAATTTATTTTCAGTTTATCCATCAGAAAATGTTCAATAAACTAAATTTTTAGGCATAGTTTGAATAAATATTCCAGACAGTAAAGTTAAGGTAACAAATATTGGAAATATTGAAAAGTCAATTAATAAATATTTCTTTGTTCTCCTAGAACGGGGGTCTGCAACCATTACTGTCAAGAGAGACGGCTTTGAACAATTTTTGTTCAAACCTATTTGAGGATTTTAATGAAACCTAAATTAAAAATGAAAGACACGAATGAAGTATAAATTAGCATATCAACCTTACTAGTAGGGTAAATAATTAAAATCTTTATCACGTGTGAGGTACCGGTGATCATCCTTACTTTAACTTGCACTACAGTAATTCCTTGTGTTGCAACATTTATAAAAATTTTAGAACTACAGTGAAAATTGATTACTATCGTTTTGGATTGCCAACAAAATGAAATAATTATTAAGCACTGGAAAAAAATTTAATTAGCATGTGTTTACTTGAAATTAGACATAAAGCTATGCAGGCCACTGCTAGCGTTTTTGCAAATGAATCGCATTAGAAACCTTTTTGATAATAAAGTAACATCAACCAAACAGCTTTAAAATTAGTACAAGTAAAAATCCCCATTTTAAATTTAATGTTGACTAAAATCTAGTTTAGTAGGAGGCAGTGCTCCTTTTTTCCCCCTTCAGCTACAATCAACCATCTGATCTACAAACAATCACATTGATATCTGCTAATAAATACAAAATTTAAACTTGAGCTCACTGATATCAGCCAGTTGAGCCTATATTGTCTTTTATAACAACCAGTAAATGAAAATTAAACTAACGATGAGGTGGGAGAAACACCCTTCATGTTATGAATGTTATGAGTGTTGCACAGTTTGGCCACCAGAGGGCACTCTGCAACTTCACTGTTGGCTACAATGTATAGAATGCCACAAAAACAACAACCAGCTGATGCGATGAGTCGGGCAGGGCAAAGAAATAATTGCACATAACAAATGTTAGACAAATCTGCGTATGTTTCGTGCGTCTGAAAGCACAAAAATATTCGAGTTTTTAAAGCACCAAATATCAGTACCGGTGTCAGTCTTAAAAATCCTGTATTGTTCATGCGTCAAATTTAAAAAATGTGTCATAGGAAGTGAGCAAAAGAACCACAGGTTTGCAACCCCTGTCCAAGAACAACAAAAACATAAACAAAATTAGATAAATTGTTACCTGTAAGGTCCCGGAGTCAGTGCATCCCTAATGCGGATTGACAAAGACACATTCCGACTGACTGAAGGAACAAAAAGTGGAAGCACACCCAAAAAGGGAAACTCCTTACTCTATGAAGTAATACTCTCCCCAAAATATATGTTTCGCTTGAATGTAGCTTAAAGCACCTGTCAAAACCTTAAACGCACACATTCATACTCAAATCAAACACAGGCCCTGTACTACAAATCAGGTAACAGTTTTATCTTTCACGATGTTACCACTCCACAGCCTGCTGTTTTCAACAGATAGGGCTGCAGTTGCTTTTTAATCTTGGAGACGTGAGGCCACAGTGTTCAAGGTTACACATCTCCATTCACAGTGTTGCCATTTTCTACCTGCCTTTTTCAATGTAACCCAAATTATTTATTTATTATGTTGCTTCTGAATGTGGTAAGCTAGGTCATTTAAAAGCTAGAGTATAACTTAGGAATGTTTTTGAAAATAGGCCGGCGGTGCGCTTTTATGCCAGCGTGTTCGTTTGTATGTCGGTGTACATACAGAGCAAATGTGCATTTGTTTCCCCATTTTAAAAGAGAGAGAGAGAGAGAGAGACAGACGTAAACGCGCTCGATACAAAGACACCTCATTAAGGTCAAAACGAACTAAATGTGGGAGCCTGTCTGGACTTACATGCATCCATCGTCTTGTTAGGATGTGCCAAAGAGCCTGTTTACTTCCCTGTCTTGCCTCTGTAAAAGCTGTTTACATTGGACCTGATGGTGGAGGAAACTCTGCACAGCTACCGGGTTCCCCCAGGGCCCCCCACGCAGAACAATGGACTGAACCAACGGTGGATCCCCCAGTTTTAAAGACTCGGGCTGCTGAAGCGGCTTCTCGTTTCCGTGGGGGTTAGATTTTTCCAATTAAACGTGAACACAAGCCAAACTTGATTACAAAGCAGGGCTCTGGAGAACCGTCAGCCCTCAGTCCAAATGCAGAAACGCAGTCAACCTCGGCCTCCTGAGGATCGGAGGTCTGTAGTCTCTCTCATATCAACCTTGAACCGAAGCAGTAACTCAAAGGGTCCATGTAGGCGGGCAACCTTTTAGAGTTTGTTCCAGTGTTGCCCATGCTTGAAACATGACTGTTTGATCCAAACGATACCCTTAACCCTTTTATGGAGTATAGATGCATACTATATACAGTAACTACATGTACTTAAGAAACTGTTGATGCTAGTAGAGCCGTCTGCAGTTCTATTAGCGAGGTAGTTTAAAAATTAAGTGATCTTAATTCCTCTATTGTGATTTGATTTCAACATTTGATGCTATGTATTTTTTATTGCTCTGTGCATTTCTGTATTTGCAGTCCTGCAAGGTGAATCTTAGAGTATTTTTTATTTTATCTGTTAGTCTCTCCAAGCTGAAACTTTTGGTGCTGGCGAGTGCGTTGTAGGTCGGGAGCTGGTTGAGTGACTGAACGCGAGGAAGACCTTTTAATATGATTGTCACGTCCTGGTATCAAAAGGACTCTAATAAGCGGGCCTTAAAGGGGACCATTTTGCAAGGTGAGATATAATTCTTCCTGTCTGCATTCACAGAGTAATAGACACTGTTGCCTCCTGCAGGTTTGTGGCTGCACTGCTGCGTGAGGTGTGAATTGGAGACCGGTGCATTATTAGTTCCCTTTTAAGATCACCCGATTAAGCCTCAGCTGGTGTAACTGGCTGTTTTGTGTGCGTGCGTGTGTGTGAGTGTGTGTGTGTGTGAGTGTTAATAAAAAAAGATAGATGACGATGTTAACTGAGAAGAAAAAGATGCAGTCAAGAAAAGAACTGTACTGTACACGAAGGGTTAAGTTTTAAGTAAATCAACTCCAGAACAAACAATAAATGTGATTTCAGTTTCAGACACCGAATCTTTGTCTTTATTGTTATGTTGTTGCGTCACACGGCGGTGATGTTTGACGGCTGTGTCAAAAGCCTTTGGTTAATTGTTTTATCAAACCGCTAGGGGGAGCTAGAATACAAGCTCCAGTTTGCATTCATTTCAAGCAGGTTTGGGATGCACCCCAGCTGTAGGTGGCAGGAGGGAATATTAGTTAGCAGTGTTTAAATGATCTCTGTCTAAATCACAGAGCGTAAATAATAAAGTAGCAAAGTTACTTGAGAACGGTGATCAGGATCAAAATGCCACGGCTTCAGCAGGCGTCGATACACAGCCTTCAATTTTCATTCTTACCCCTGGAAAAGAACTAAAACCGAACACTGAGCTGCTCTGGGGGTTTTGATCATGACAGCTTCCAGAAGGGAAATCGAGTAAAGTGAAAAGGGGAAGCGGACACATTTGTGCATGCTCTAATTTCTCCATCATACATGGGACCGATGTTAATAAAAAGAAAAACGCTATAACACAATATAATGAAAACTATCCACTTCTTCAGATTAATGTCAACACATGACATACGACGTGTGTTATTCCTCAAAAAAAAAAAAACTAAACCAAAATGCAAAAGCAGTGTGTAAAAAGCTCCTGATCCAGCTGCCTGTACAATCAGCTTTAGCAGTGAGAACTTGAAGTAGTTGGTTTCTGTATGACTTTATGAGTCTCTCACCTCACAGTGAAGGAATTTTCTTTACGGGTTTGCAGGAATTCATTTATTGATAGCTGTCTTAAGATCCCGCTCAGGTCGACTTTGACTGGACCATTGCAGCACTAAGCTTCTTTTCTTTTTCAGCCACTTTATTGTAGATTTGCCGCTGTGCTCAGGATCAGGATTCCTGTTCCATGACTTTGTTTCAGCCCAGTTTTAGCTGTTATTTGACTCCAGATTACTTTGGTGTAGCAAGAAGTTCATGCTGGACTCATCACCCCTTCACACCCTTTGTGTTTGTTCAGATGCTGCTTTGCCAACCTAAACCATGTTCTTTTTAGGAAGAAGAGACTTTCTACTGGTATCCCTTCCAGACAAGTCATCCTTTTTCAGTGTTTTTCTTTTCTTTTTACTCTCATGAACTTTTAACATGCTAACTAAGGCCCGCAGAGTCTGAGATGTAGGTCTTGGGTTATTTGCAGATTCTCTAGGCATTGCATGGTATGACCTCGTGGTGAATTTACAGGGAATTCTTCAGGGAAGATTGGAAAGTGTCCCAAATCTTTTCCACTTGTAAATTATCTTCCTTACTATTGAATGATTGACTTGAAATTATTTGGAAATGGGCTCAGAACCCTTTCCAGACTGACGAGCAGCTACAAT